ATCACCTCTCTGGGCCCCAGTTTTTGCATCTGTAAAAGAAGGAGTCTAGACTAGATAATCTCAAATGTTCCTTCCAGTTCTAAATCCCATGATCCTATGAATGGTACTGTTGTAGGCACTGTAAAATGTTATACTGAAAGGAGAGGGATAAGGTAAAACCTTAAAACCTTACATCAACATCTTCCCTTCTTAACCTCAGAAAAAATACCTTTATTACCTTGCAAGGCCCACATGTTATAAGATGCCAAAAGACTGATGAAAGTCTCTTTAGTCTTGGCTGGGATGTCAGGTCCCATGATGTTCGTAGAAGATCCAATCTTAACATCATATCTGTAATAACATATGTTAAACTTTAGCTTGTATGCTTTGGTTAAAGCATGCTATAATACTCAGCCAAATAGTCTTAGGCTACTCTTGATTCTTTTTTTTTTTTTAGGTTATACATGTGTAGTCATGCAAAACACTTCCCTAATACATGTTGTGAAAAACTAACTATATTTCTCTTCATCTTATCCTGCTCCCCCACCCCATTTATTTTATTCTCTCCTTTGACTCTGTCCCTCCTCAAAAGTGTTTGCTTCTGATTACCCCCTCCCCAAATCTGCCCTTCCTTCTATCATCTCCCCTCTTAAGATAGATTTCCATACCCAACTGAGTATGTATGTTATTCCCTCCTTAAACCAAATGTGATGAGAGTAAGATTCACTCATTCCCTCCAGAATATCATATTCCAAGCCCTCTGATCTACCCTCTGATCCCTTAATGTAGAACCTGCTAAATTTTGTGTTATTCTGATTGTGTTTCCACAATACTTGAATTGTTTCTTTCTAGCTGCTTGTAATATTTTCTCCTTGACCTGGGATCTCTGGAATTTGGCTATAATTCCTGGGAGTTTTCCTTTTGGGATCTCTTTCAGGAGGTGATCGGTGGATTCTTTCAGTTTCTATTTTACCCTTTGGTTCAAGAATATCAGGGCAGTTTTCCTTAATAATTTCTTGAAAGATGATGTCTAGGCTCTTTTTTTGATCATGGCTTTCAGGCAGTCCAATAATTTTTAAGTTATCTCTCCTATTCTTGATTCATTTAAGAATATGCTCATTCATTACTTCATTCAGTCAAGTTGGTACATTTAAAAGAAAGAGATTCTAGGGAGCAGTTACGGTTAACCAGTGTTTGTAGAGGACTAGTAGTAGCCTCTTTAATTAATTTTCCTTTTCCCAAAGCCAAATGCACTGAAGAATATTGCCAAGGACTTCCCTTGAATGAAAAGCATAGTCTAGAGCAGGGGTGGGGAACCTGCAGCCTCGAGGCCACATGTGGCTCTCTAGGTCCTCAAGTGCAGCCTTTTGACTGAATCCAAACTTGTTCTGTGAAGTTTGGATTCAGTCAAAGGGCCACACTTGAGGCTGCAGGTTCCCTACTCCTGGCTCTGGACAATGAAGTAGTATAGTTATTTACAACTAAAACCACAATTAATTTACAATGATCATTACACAGAGTGTAGAGCTTATTAAAACTTTCTTTGATAACCCTTTTCTACCAGTGTCTCCATAGATGACATTGTAAACACTGACTAGTTCCCATCTTAGGTCAAAAGATGGCAATACAACACTTGGGTGTCTACCTGCCATGACAAACCCAGCAACAATAGGAACACAATTACAAAACATTTTTCACACAAATATCAGATCTAAACAAGTGGAAAAATATCAGTTGTTCAGGGGTAGGCCAAGCCAATATAATAAAAATGATAAGATAACAACACAAGGAGACGAAAAGGGCAGGTGAATAAAGATGTGAACTCATGGGGATTTTGCCTCTTACCTTTTCTCTGCCCAGTCTATAACTGGATCCCACTCATTCCTCTGAAGTTCCACTAACGTTTCTGGCTCCTCCACCCTGTAACTAATTCATTGCAAAAAACCATCTTTGTTAACAAAAAGTTCAATTTTTCTATTCATTATTAGTAATCTAATAAAATAAAAATACAAATGACAACTTGAAAAAAGCTTTTTCCCCCAAAGTATTTTAACCATATCTTGGGATGTAGCTTTTTTCATGAATCAGTCCTTAATATCTCTCACCCCAGATGCTGCTAATGGGGGCACTTCAATATAAAGTTTTCAGAGCACTTACTAGGTATTTGGAGAGTAAAAACCTCTCATTCTACCAAGTTAGCCTAAATCTAATAACCGAAGTTTATTACCAATTAATTCCTTGGTCCTCTCAATCTACCCAAGTTTATTCTTAGTGACTATGAAAGTTTTCAGTATAATGTTTAAAGGCTGATCTGTTAAATTGAAAGGAATAATACTAACTTGCACATATATAACTTTTTATTATTTACAAAGTCTTTTTCTCCCAATAACCTGTGAATAGTACAAGATAGTATAAGTATTACCATACCCAATTTTAGAGAGGAGAAACCCAGAGCTGAGAGAGGTTAAGAGATGCCCCAACATCACAGAACTGCTAAGTGGTAAAATTAAGACTCAGACTCAAACCTTTGACTGCCAAGCTAGTGAGCTGTCTGAAGTCTTACATGTGCTAGGGGTGGGAATACAAGGAAAACACAGAAACGGCCCTTGCCCTTGAGGAGCTTATGTTCCGTTACGTATGAGGGGATACAAGGCAGACTCGTTAGTATAGAACAAAGCAAACTGAGGGAGAGTCTGCGAAAAATACAGTCTCCTCCATTTGGCATTTGTTGTTCTATGAATTTAATAGATCCTTGCCATCCTTAGTTATCACTGCTTAGTTGGCTGCAACTAAAAGAAAAAAAACCAACAACTCCACAACAAAATAAGAAAACAACTCCTGATAACTCCTTAGGCAAGTGCTGTAGGGCAACCTAAAGCTCACCGTCATTACAATGTGAATTTAGTCCAAGTGTCTGTTACCAGATTGTGTCTGTGTCCAGAAACTTCATAGCAGCTTGGATAAGCTGATCTTTGTTTCGTTGAGTTGGGTTGTCTAAAGATGTGTTACACAGTGTGGTCTGAATCAAAAGGCAGAGAGAGCAACTATTATAGTTCATTGGCCCCAAGATAAAAGTACTTCTCCCTTCACAAAGTCATTACTGTCCAAGAAGAGAGGCTAAATGTAAGAGACTGATGTCACTCCATACTGGCAAGAGACTGAAGTTCCAAAGTGAGCCTCCCTGATGTGACTGATGATTAATACCATGACAGCAGTATACTGAACCAGTGTAACAAACAGGCTAGGATTATGATTTTTAAAAGATACCTAATTGATTTTTTAAAAAACACCCCCCAAATCATTAGTATTTTCTCCCACTCATATCCATCCCTAAGGTGCAATGAGGTATTCAGCTCCTATTATAGTTACAAATCCACATGGGCAAGAGAAGCAAAGAGAAAGAACCATTGAGAGCACAAAGTATGGTATGCCTAAAAACTTCAAAAATATATTTATGAGTAAAGTGAATAACCATAATAATTAAAGTTGATTTCTGAAATTCCCCTGTTTTAAAGTTTAGGATCATGTGATAAAACAGGAGGTGGCAATGGTACTTAGCCCACATAATCAAACTCAAAGGCTAGCTTTCTAACTCAACTATTTATACCTGTTTTCCTTATTTATGGAAAATGTTTAACTCACTAAGATCTTGTGAAGGTCAAGATATTTATACAGTATTCTAGGTTACTAGGAAATAAAGGCACTAACAAAAAAACCTCTGACACTATTTCAAGCTCCTTGGGAGCAACTAATGTATGTTTAATACTCCTCTTTTATCACCCACAATGTAGGATTTAAGAGGTACTCACTGCTATTCAAGGTAATGGAAAGTAGTAGCACAGATAGTCCAGATGTGTTTTTCTTCATATTCATCTGATTACATTTTGTTTAACATGTTAAAAGTAGTTTGTATTCTCTGAACTTACATCAAGTAAGTGTGGAGTAGTGTGGAAGGTGGACAGGAGTATGTTAGAATGACCAAGGGAAACTGACTGAGGGTTTAAAAATTGGTCAAGAATGACTGATAAAGTAAATAATCTATCAGAAGATAAAAAAGTAAATGTGACTGCTGCCATCTTTACTTTCTCTCGACCTCACTTCTAATTTCTCACCAAATGCATCGTGTAGAACTTGATAGTGTCTTGCTGGGAATCCCACTCAGTAGCCACAGCAACAGCCAGTGCTTCACTGGGAACAGTAAAGAGCTTGGCATTGGGAGTTTTCAGTTTTCTGTGGTCCAGGTTTATCTCATATCCACCTTGAAAGATCAAAGTTTAAAACTCTCAGGAATTACAAGTAAAAGCAAATGACTGTTCTTACATGCTTGAACTGACACAAGGCTTAAAGACAGTGGATTTTGCTTACTGAAAGACCATAATGATAAGGAGAATAATCTGGTGGGCTAGTTATAAACAAAAGCATTTCAAATCACACATTAAAAAGGCAGAAGGAGCTTTCAGATACTCACCTTCACCTTGTGTAATGCTGACATTCTGATAAAACTTCTTCCTTTCTATTAAAAAAGAATTTTCAAAGAGATAGTTTAAAATGTCATCAAGATAGCTTATGGAGCAACAGAGCCAGCTACCAATACTATGATTAATGCCGATGTAGTAATAGGTTTGATTTTTTTTTAATTTACATTCCAATTAGACTACTACAATAAAGGTTTACTATACATGTAGTTATCATGAAACAAGCAATATGTGCTGGTTTGTAAGGTGCCAATCAGGCTTATGGTCTGGGCCTTCCTCTGCTCAGACATTATCATACATAACTTTTAGGTTAGATTGGGTTTAATAAGTTATCTAAGGGAAAGCATAAATTCCATTCTCTTACCACCACCATTTCACCTTTTATCCAAATACAAAGATAGCATCTGAATGTGACGAGGATATATATTCTTTATTCTCTTTTATAAATGCCCATGCTAGACAGTAAGAGATCCCAAGAGCATTTTCTATTTCTCACTATCCAATTAATTAGCCTAATTAACTTTAGCTTTCTTGTGTACTTAACAGGAACTACAAATTCTCCTTCAAGAGGGAAAAATCTGTGTTCTGTGCTTCCTTCTGAAAATAAGTTGAATAAAAATCCTATCATGGAAAGACTCATACCAGTCACCCTGGAGGAAGATGAAAAAAGCAGCTCATAATAATTGTCATAAACTTTATTAACTAATAAGGAAAAACAAGTAGGTAGAATTTTGAGATCTACCGGCCAACCATCACACAATCTTTGGAATATGTAATACATAGGAAAAAGAAGTTATTTCTTTAAATTTAAAAGCATTTGGGGTCTTTGATATTTACCTGTTGAAATAATAATATAGTAAGTGAAAATAAAAGAGAATAAGTAAATAGCTTGTATTTAAGCTTCTTTCATTAGTAATCATGCTTATGTTAAACATTAATCAAAATGGGCTATGGAAGGGAAGAGAATTTATGGTATCATGGCCTTATTACAGGCCAAGTGAAGAACAATGAATTTGGCATTTTGAAATATGGATTTGGGGCCCAGTTTTGCCACTTAGTAGCTATGTGACACTGGACAAGTCTTATCTTACCTCTCTTATCTTCAGTGTCTTCATCTGTATAAAGGGACAATACTTGAGTTATCCACTTCAGAGATACCAGTGCTTTGTAAAGTGTTAGATAAATGTGTAGTGTTGATAATTTTGCCACAGTTTTCATAATATATATATTATAATGTATTCCACATCAATATTTAACAGATTGTTCTTATATTGTGCTTTAAAGTTACAAAGCACTGTTCCCATGAGGCAGAAGAAAGTACAAGGATTGTGATTCCTGGTTTAAAGGTGAGGAAAAAGGGGCAGCTTGGTGGCACAGTGGATATAGCACTCTGCGCTGGAGTTTGGAGGACCTGAGTTCAAATCTGGCCTCAGACACTCATTAGCTGTGTGACCTTGGGTAAGTCACTTAATCCTCATTGCCTCCCACCCCCCCCCAAAATAAATGAAAATAAAGAGGAGGCAAATGACTTGCCCAGGATCACATAGCTGGTAGCTGTCAGAACTTGGATTTGGACTTACTTCGTTAGATACAAAGTTTTCTTAAGAACGCAAATATAATTTAATCTTTTTTAAAAATCTGATTGTTTTTTTTTTCATTGCTGTACTTCCCAGTGATTCTTGCTTACTCATTTTGTAACACTGGTCATTTCTGATAATGCATGACTCATTCCCTGTCCTATAACCAAATGATATAAAACTCAAATGAAAACAAGGCCACTAAACCATACACAAGGATTCCTGCAGGCTGCATACTGACTCACAGAACCACATATTAATATTATCTATGTTCCATTACATTTTTACCTCATTAAATATATCCTAATTCTGTTTTAATCTGGTTCTCCTGTTCTGCTGGCCTTGCTGGACCCCTCTGCTAGAACCTACCACCTCTCTAAGTACTAAGAGGAGGGAGACATGCTTCACTGCCTCTGAATTAAAAAGTGGTCATGGCATTGATCAGAAAGAACTCAAAATTTCAATACTCCACAAGCATTTATCAAGTGTTGGCTATGCGCACTGTGTTACTAAAAGTAACAGAGTTATCAATGACAAACCTTGCTTTCAAAAAGTGCACCAGATGAGGGCTAAAGCTATTTCCCTAAAGGCAAATGATGTAAGTGCCAAGAAAGGTAGGTAAAGTGCTATGAGAAATCTAAGGAAAGATTTCTTTTACTAGGTGGGGGTCAAGGTTGTACTAGTGTTAAGGGCCATGTGAGTTTTCTTTTTTGTCAATAATTATGAACAGCTATGAGAAAGTGCATGGTTAATGGATAGGGTCTAGCCTTGTAGTCAGTCACCTGAGTTAAACTCCTGCCTCTGACACAGCTATGACTATGGGCATTAGTGGAGGGAGTTTCCACACTGGGATACCCACACACTAATGAAATCACAGGCCTGCACTTAAAAACAATCCCCTTTGGCAAGAGGCATGCTCTTTGTAATCACTTGCTTTGATCTTATTCCCAAGCTTATATTCTCTGATTTGCTTATACATTAGACTCAGGCATCAGAGTAAGCAGATTAGGAGGCTCAACAAGTATGACAGAACCCTATGGATTCTCCATGTGCCCAGTCACAAAAAAGTCAAACTTGGACCTGGAATAAGAAGCCCTGTTCCTAATTGTTGTTGTTGTCCTTCGTATTACAAAAAGACCAACATGACATCACTAATTACTATACCAAGAAATATAGAACATTGAGCTTACAGATAACTAAACTGGATCTGATGGTTAACACTCTGAAAGACAAGAAGAGATGGAAATAAAATTGAAAGTGACCTAACTAAATTAGGCAAAACAAAAACAAAAACGGTCCATCAGGAACAAGAAAAGCACCTCAAGAGGAACTTATTCTTAGACCAAACACTTGACACTTAGTAGCTGTGTGTGTGACCCAGGGCAAGTCACTTAACCCCAATTGCCTTTAAAAAAAAAAAGGAATGCATTTTGTGCCAACCCTTGAATTGGGTGGGTGGGGGGAACCCAACAACAGCTAAATACAAGTATAGCAACAAATACTTGGCGGAGGGGGTATTAGTGGACCATAAACTAAACACAGAACAAGAATGCAAAGCTTATATTTGAAAAACAAATGTGACCTTGGGCAATTAATAATGAACATGACATCCTAATACCACAGATTGACTTATGGATACAAAGATATCCATCTCTGCAGCTTGGTACTACTGGTCAGGCCTTCTGTACTGTACGGTTTCTAATTCTCATCTTTGTATCTTCATAAAGAAGAGAAAAGACTGGAAAGGAGTGAGAAGCATAGCAGCTAAAATGATGAGAGAGATGAGGCCCACAGATACAGAGCTGGAATGCTCCAAATAGGAACTCCAGGCCAACTGCATCATTTTGCAGATGAGGAACCAAGGCCCACAGGGTAACATAGGCAATAAACAGCACAGCAGAAACTCAAACTCTGGTCCTCAGACTACTGGACCACACTGCCTACTGGAACAGAAGCTGGAGTAGCTAAAAGTTTCAAGGGAAAGGATGGTTTTTTATTTTGTTTTGAATTCAGGAGACCCATACATGTTGGTAGAGTCATGGGACAGAACCAATAGAGAGGGAGTGGCAGAAACTGGTCCTGTGAGAAAAGCTAAAATGTAAGTAAAATGTAGGACCAGTCTCTAAGAGAGAAATGGTCAAAGAATAAGAACAGTTTGCAATTCTTTTGAGAAACATTAGCCATCATATGAAAACTTGTTGCAAATCAGTAATAATAGAAATGCAAATTTAAAGAAATCTGAAGTTTCATCGCACCTAGCAAATTGGCAGAGATAGTTAAAGATGGAAACAGTCTTTTGAACTGTTGGGAGTGGCTGTGCACTATAGACAGGGATACTTGGACACTGCTGGTCGATCAGTGAATGGCCTAACCATTTTGGAAAACAATTTGGAATGGTGCAGAAGAAGTGGCTGAAATGTCCACGCTGCTGCTAGGTATATATCCCACCAAGGACGTGGCAATATATTCATAACAGGAATTCATATAGTAGTAGAAAACTGGAAATGAACTGGGAGAAGAATATAGGGACTGACTAAAACTGTGGTACATGAATGTAATGAAATATTCTGGAATACTAAGAAATGAAAAATGTGAGGAATTTAGAGAAATGTTGGAAGACTTCTAGATATCAGTGCAGAGGGAAATAAGAACTAGGAAAACAATGTAGGTAAGGTAATGACTATGACAGTGTAAATGAAAAGAACAAAAATGAAATTGAACACTGCCATTGTAATGAGTTATCTTGGCACCAGAGGTGACAAAGCAATGTCCTTTCCTCCTTTCACTGCAGTTAAGTGGAGTGTCTATGTATGTGAAATGTCTCATTTGCTATCAGGCATGCCTGATGTGTACCTCAGTATTGTTTTACTGTTTTTTTTTCTTTTTTATCACAAGGGAAGGCTCAGTATGTGGTAGAACAGAAAGAGGTATGTATGTTCCAAATAACTGTGAGATCAAAGCAAAAGGCATTAGTAAAATTTTTTTTTTAGAGGTAAATGGAATTGTTTAGCCTGGGAAAGGAGGCTATGGGCTAAACTTAGTGAAGTTCACCCTCCAAGTGAATGGTGGGTTACCATGAATGAAAACTAATTTCTATCCTTCAGGAGAAAAAAAAGAAAAGGAAAAGGTTAAGTTGCAATAACAGTATTTGGGGACATGAAGAAGAATATTTCAACTGTAAAGGTAATTTCTTCTGGAACATATTACAAAGGGTTACAGAATCTCTCTTCTAGAAGCCATTTAAAAATAGAAGAATGGTTCAGGAATTGCTTACCTTGACACAGGGTCTGAAGAAGGTGACCTCAAATGATCTATAATATAGATCATAAATAATGGAGGCTTACTAAATACCTAAAATTGTGCTAGGCACACAATGTTGGGGATGTGTAGGCAGTACAGTTAATTCCCCACTTCTTTAGAGATCAGATTTCCTGAAGTCCAAAAGCCAGAGCACAAAAACTATGTATTTTACTCAGAAGATAGGATCATGGGCTCTCATACTAAGCCTACTTACTCTTTTTTTTTTTAATTTAGCATTCAGTTTTTAATTCATGCTAAACCTATTTGCCCCCCTTTTTTTTGGCACTTATTTAGTTCGGAAAATTATCTTCCTCTCTCTAGCCCTTCCCCCACCCATCAAGAAGCCAAGCAATATGACACTCATTATACATGTGAAGTCATGCAAAACATATTTCCAAATTAGCCATGTTCCCCCACTCCCCAAAAAACAACAAAAAACATAAAGTGGAAAAATATGCTTCAACCTGCTCTCAGAATTCATCAGTTTAAGCCTATTTATTCTTAATTAACATATAATTCTAATAAGTTTGATCTACTACTTTGTAGGATACAACAGGTTAAAAGCTGCCAACAAAGCACACAGACATACCCTGTGAACTGGAGTGGGGAAGGATAGAGTATTATAAGGCCGTACATGGACAGCTGAGAAATTATAGCTGAACGACTGAGAAAAGGAGCAAGGATGTGTTAGTAATATACAATAAATACGTTAATAATATACGTAAGGATGAAATTGAGTCATCAAGAAAAGGTATGATCTGTTTAAGAAGACAGGGTCACAAACAATACATGTTAGATTTCCATTTAAAATAAAGTTTTGATAGTCTTAGTCATCTGGGGAATTCATGCATTTGGAACAGCACATTTCTTAATGATGAAGGATAAATGAGGTGTATAAAGCACAATTTCTTCCCAGTGGGGAGTTTACAGTCTTGTTGGGGAGACAACTTAGGCATATAAAACATTAGAAGACCCTTTCTGACTTTGATTCCAGGAGCATACACATATTGGAGTAACCATGGAAACAACATCTTCAAATATAAAGGAAGCTAGTTACCAAATTGGGTCACACCATTTCTCTTGTGCAACAGCTAGCTACTATATATATGCACTTTCTTCCCTCCTTTAGAAAAAGTAAATTACTACAACACTTTTTTTCCCTTTTCTTTTATCTCAGTTTCCTTATTGGAAGCTAATTTTTCCAGACT